CCTGTTAATTTCTCTGAATAATTTCTATTTACACTATTTACTGTTCGGACTGTTGTTCTGATTTTCGTTGGGATATTCTAACACTAACTACGTCGTGAATATGGCAACAAGATGAGGACAACAATTTCGACATTTGTAAAAAAAAAGAACGCGTCCTTCTATATATCTGAGATGAGGTATTATATACATTATTTACACATTTTTATAGGGAGACCGCATCTCGTTCATGCCATATTGACTATATTACAACGTTTCGGCCTTGGAGGAGTTTCAGGCTGGTTTATAATACGATTTCGACCGATTCACTACAATTTCACATTCACCACGAGAACGCGTCCTGTGAATCCTCCATTGTTCCACGTGCCATTTTTAATGGACCTACAAAAGGAAACTCGTGTCATGCTCACTTGGTGACTATATTATTTGTAAAAAATTACAATTATGGCACAAGCCTCTGAATAGGCTGGTCTTAACAACTATTTATTATACTATTTCCACTGTTCGGACTGATTCATACATTACAATTTTCATTGGGATATTCGTCCTGAATCATTGTCCAATATGGCAACAAGATGACCTACAAAAGGAAACTCGTGTCACACTTGGTGACTTATTGTAAAAAATTACAACTCCTGCCAGAAAAAGAGGAGATGAGGTATGGTCTTAACTAATTATTTTCCATTATTCGGACGACCGATTCTTTGTCGCCATATTCACCACGAGAAACGTTTCATCGGAATCCTCTTCATAATACAACATTTTTATAGGGAGACCTACTGCTCACTCGTGTCATGCTACTTGGTGACTATATTATTTTAAAAAATTACAATTATGGCACAAGCCAGAAAAAAAGGAGGGAGGCCTGGTCTTAATAACTAAACTATATTATCTAATCCGAGTTACGACCGATTCATACATTACAATTTCACATTCACCACGAGAACGCGTCCTTCATCATTGAATCCTCCATGTTCCATGTTACAACATTTTCGTTGGGAGATTCAAAAGGAATCTCGTGTCATGGCAACAAGATGAGGACAATATCCGGACAATTTGTAAAAATTACAATTATGTCTATATATCTGAAAGATGAGGTTATTATATCTTAATTATTTAAATTATTCGGACTAATCGATTTGTCGACCGATTCATTTATTACAACGTTTCGGCATTCACCAGGAGAACGCGTCCTTCATCATTGAGTAGACTGTTCTTGTTCCACAACATTTTCTATGGAGACCAGTTAAAAGGAATCTCCTGTTCATTTCCCTGGTGAATATTATTTTAAAAATTTACAATTTGTTCGGACAGAAAAGAGGAGGGGTTTTCTTAACTAACTACTATATTATAAGCTAATACGATTCACGACCGATTCATGATTACAATTTCACATTCACCACGAGATTTTCGTCCTTCATCATTGAATCCTCCATACTCCATAATACCAATTTTATGGCAACAAGATACAAAGGAACCTCGTGTCATGCTCCTTGGTGACTATATTATTTGTAAAAAAAAATTACAACAGAAAAAGAGGAGGGGTTCCTGTCTAACTATATCTGAGATGAGGTATTATATACATTATTTACAATTTATTCGAGACGCATCTTTGTCGCCATATTTATTACAACGTTTCGGCCTTCTACAAAAGGTGGTTTATCATGCTCACTGGAGTAGACTATATTATTTTAAAAAATTGCCATGTTTAATGGATGCCAGTTAAAAGTTAGGAGGGGTTAATTTTCCTCTGAATAATTTACTATTTTATAAGCTTCCACTGTTTACGACTGTTGTTCTGATTTTCAATTTGGGATATTCACCATGAATCACGTCGTGAATATGGCAACAAGATGAGGACAATAGTCCAACATTTTCTATAGGGAGACCTAAAAAGGAAACTCCTGTCATATATCTGAGATGACTATATTATTTGTAAAAATTACATTATTCGGACGCATCTTTGTCGCCATAAAAATTACAGGGTTTAGGCTGGTCTTCTAGGTGGTTTATTTAAGCTAACTGGAGTTAGACTGATTCATTGTTCCAATTGCCATGTTTACCACGGATGCGTCCTTCATCATTGAATTCCATCTCCTAATTAATTTTCTATAGGGAGACCTACTGAAACCTCGTTCATATTTACTTGGTGACTATTTTATTTGTTCAATTATGGACTGTTGTTCTGATTTTCGTTGGGATATTCACCATGAATCGAGAACGTCATTGAATATGGCAACAAGATGAGGGACAACAGTCCGGACTATAATTTGTAAAAAAAATTACAACTCCTGGTCTATATATCTGAGCTAATGAGGTACGACCGATTATACATTATTTACATTATTCGAGAACGCATCCTTTGTCATTGAATATCCATACTCAACGTTTCAACATTTTCAGGTGGTTTAAAAGGCTCACGTGTCATGCTACTTGGTGACTTGTTATTATTTGTAATGTTTAAATGGATGCCAGTTAGAAAAAGTTATCTCCTGTTAATTTGGTCTGAATAATTTCTATTTACACTATTTCCGACTGTTCGGACTGTTGTTCTGATTTTCGTTGGGATATTCACCACGAGAATCACGTCGTGAATATGAATCCTCCACTCAAGATGAGGACAACATTTCCTATAGGGAATTTTAAAAATTAAACTCCTGTCTATATATCTGAGATGACTATATTATATAAAATTTACATTATTCGGACGCATCTTTGTCGCCATATTTATTACAACGTTTCGGTTACGACCGATTCAGGTGGTTTATTTCGCATTCACGAGGCGTCCTTAGATTGTTCTTGTTCCACATTTGCCATGTTTAATGGATGCCAGTTATCAGTTATATTATTTGTTAATTTCCCTCTGAATAATTTCTATTTAACACTATTTCCACTGTTCGGACTGTTGTTCTGATTTTCGTTGGGATATTCACCATGAATCATTTTGAATATGGCAACAAAAGATGAGGACAACATGTCCGTGACTATATTATTTGTAAAAATTACAACTCCTGTCTATATATCTGAGATGAGGTATTATATACATTATTTACATTATTCGGACGCATCTTTGTCGCCATATTTATTACAACGTTTCGGCCTTCTTCAGGTGGTTTATTTCGCTCACTGGAGTAGACTGTTCTTGTTCCACGTGCCATGTTTAATGGATGCCAGTTATCAGTTATCTCCTGTTAATTTCCTCTGAATAATTTCTATTTACACTATTTCCACTGTTCGGACTGTTGTTCTGATTTTCGTTGGGATATTCACCATGAATCACGTCGTGAATATGGCAACAAGATGAGGACAACAGTCCGGACAACAATAAAAAAAATTACAACTCCTGTCTATATATCTGAGATGAGGTATTATATACATTATTTACATTATTCGGACGCATCTTTGTCGCCATATTTTTATTAAACGTTTCGGCCTTCTTCAGGTGGTTTATTTCGCTCACTGGAGTAGACTGTTCTTGTTCCACGTGCCATGTTTAATGGATGCCAGTTATCAGTTATCTCCTGTTAATTTCCCTCTGAAAGTTCTCCACTGCCTTAACCGCGTATTGAACTCACACTCTTTGGTTCCTGTCACTGGAGCTAACCAACGCCTTTATCCACTGTGCCATGTGTCCTTGAGGGCATCTGTGTATGAATTTCTGGGTATTATAAACCTAATGTCTTCAGCAACCATTTTTACCAGTGCTCATATTGCAATTTTTTGTTGTTATTATCGCTTTTCTCTGGCACTCCTTATTACACTTCCTCGTCTCAAAAATATAGACAGATAATTTCTGTCTGACCAGGAAGATGAGGAGTTATTTCTATTTATATTATTTTCATGCTGGCCATTGTCCTCATCTTAAATGAGGACAATTGCCCGTATGTAAGTAATGATGGCTCTACATTCCGGAAGTTCAGTCAGAAATTACTAGCTTCTTTTCACTTAAAAAAAAGCCATCACATCATTTATGTGTCTACATTTATTTTCAAAATTTCCATAGATTTTTATCCATTAGACTTTTTGAGGGCTTTTTTTTATTATCGATTTATTTGAAAAAAAAAATACATTTCCATACTTTTAACTTCTATATGCCGCATTCCGTCAGGTGATCATGGCTCTCCACAATCTTCTATTCCATGTCGCTAACTTCTATCTTTCTTGCCTTCTATACGTCCTGTGGTTTAAGTTTTCCAAGCACTCCTTCTTCGTTATGTGTTCAAGAAATTTACACCTGTATCTTTTTGATTCTGTGCATAAGTCTTCTCTTTGTTTCCATTTTCCTTAATACTTCCTCCATTGCTTTCTCGCTCCGGTGTATGCTCAGTATCCTCCTGTAGAAACACTTTTCTATTGTTTCTAGCTTTCTTTTCATCTGTGAGAAGATTGTCTACTATTCGCTGCCACGCAAGAGGATTGATTTTCCATAAGAGTTTAGTATAATTTTCTTTTTTTTTTAACTAAACTTTCCCGTGTCTTAGTACTTTGCTTAGCTTCTGGTTGGCATCTTTCGCAAATCCCATGAGCGTTCGGATTTCGGTGTCGTATTTTTCGTCCACTATTTAAAACACTTTCCAGATATTTAAACTTCTGTACTTGTTTGATGTTGACATCTCCAATTCTTAATTTGCATCTTGCGATTTTTGTCTTACTGACAAACATACTTACTGTCTTCTATACTTTTAAGTAGTTATGTCAATATCCGTACAAATTACTGGCAAACAGGGCTGGTTGTTCAACCTGTGGTTTTCTTGTATGCACAAGATATCAAATCTTAAGTCAGGGTTACTGACTTAAGATGTTGTGGCAAACTATTTTCAATATTTCCAGTGGGCCATTTTTGTTTAAATCTTGCAATTCCCTTTTGAGAAAAAGGAAATGAGGAAGGAACGGCCATACACTTAAAATAATTATCTTATGTGCCTGAAGAATAACATGCAACGAGCCAGTCGATCCTGACAAATTACGAAACCTGTTCGATAATCTTAGACACGGATCGTCCCATGCCTACTAGAATTATCTACGGACTTGCAGGCTTTGTTCCCTTGGAGATCCGAGGATTTCTTTGTGACTAAATTTTCTGTCTATACGAGACGCTTGATACAGTGAAGTTAGAGGGTTACTGCCTGAGGTAGGCATGTAAGAGGAGGAGGCAAGTACATATTTTGAGGATATATAGGATAGATAAAGGTTGACCCTAGGCTTGAAGAAGTTAAGATTGAGGTGATCGGGGAAGCATCCTCTTGGGAGTCTGTTTCACATAGTAGTGGTTCTTGGGGGAAAAAGGTTGAGTGGAATTTTCTACTTACCTGTGGAATACGGGGGTGGGGATGAGGATGATTTGGTCTTATGTGTCAGCTGTAAAGTTTTGAACTAGCAAAAAAAAGAAACGTATTTCCTCTGAACATTTACCATGGAAATAGCCATAGAGTAGTGATAGGTTTCCAAAATTTCGTCCGTGGAAAATGGATTACAGGGTGGAATTCATCACCCACAAGGCTGTGTACATACTTTTGAACTGTGTTAAGGCTGGAATGGGAGGGATCGGGGTTATTACTATTATTTCATTGTATTCTTAGCACGTTCTCTTTCACTCCCCCTCATTCTCTCTCTCTATCTCCATTTCTCTATTTCTCGTTCTCTCCCCTTCTTTCTCTCTCATTCCCTCCCTCTCCGCTCTTTATCCTCTCTCCCCCTCTTTATCCTCTCTCCCCCTCTTTATCCTCTCTCTCCCACTCTCTATCATCTCTCTCTCTCCCCCTTTTTTATACACTCTCTCATTCTCTCTCCCTCTCTCTCATTCCCTCTCTGTCCCTCTAACTTTACCTCCCTCCATCCCCCTCTCTCCATCCATCCCTCTCTCTCCTCCTTCGTATCGTCTCCCTCACTCCCTCTTTGTACCACCCTATACCCCTCTCCCTCAATCCCTCTCTCACCCTCCATCCTTCTCTCTCCCCTTCTCCACCCTCTCTCTCACTCCCTCTCTGCTCTCTGCCCCTTTCTTGCTCCATCTCTCTCCCTTCACATCCTCTCTCCCTATCTCCTACTCTCTCTCCATTCCTATCCTCTCTCTCTTTCCCTCTCTCTCTCTCCCTCTTCCCCCTCTATATCCCTTCCCCCCACTCTCTCTGCAAGTATCTTCGTCTGAAAGGAAATTGTATAACCTTCATTGTCATAGAGAATTTCATTTTTTAATCTGTCAGGAAATTGTCCAATATTCAGTCTTGTAAATGATAGAAAAAGATATACGAACGAGTCAACAATATGACATCAAATACATAAAAAAATACAGATTGTTTTTCAGTAAGATGATAGTCTCCAAAACGACAGTTATCAGTGCAGACACCCCAAATATAATAAACAGTAATGCTTAAAATGCCTACAGCAATAATAACAAGGCAACCTACCATAAGTAAATCCATTAATCCTAATGAAACGGTTTGGAAATTTTGATAAAAACAAAAACAATATTCTTCTATGTGTTCCTTCAGGACGTTGGAGATCGCAGCTCTCCACAATTTCCTCTCTTTTTAACTCTTTGTAAGTTCTTTGCTATATTTCGTAAACCTTGTTCTACCATCCATTTACACAAACTCCTTAGATAGGTTATGTGTTGTTTTCCTCTGTCCCTCTTGTTGTCACTTCTTCTTCTTCTTCTTCTTCTTCTTCTTCTTCTTCTTCTTCTTCTTCTTCTTCTTCTTCTCATACCCTTTCATCTCTCTCCACAATTTCCTCTCCTTTGTAGGTCTTAATAAATTTTGCCTTTTTGCAATCTCCTCTAAACACTGCTGTGTCAAGCTCATTAGGTAAGTTATCCTTTGTTTTCGCCCGTTTCCCTTTGCCTTCAGTCTGTCCTGTGAGTACCAAATGCTCCTAACCCGCTTTTCCCCATTATGTGCCCTAGAGATGTCAACTGTCCCTTCTTAATGTTAAGTAAAGGAGACCATTTTGTTTCCATTTTCGGTAAAACGTGTTCACATGTTCAGCCAATGTTATTCTCAGAATTCTTCATATTTATGTTGCTTATAGTTTTATCTCCATCTACGACGAGATTGTCTAGTATTTACTGCCGCACAAAAGCATTGTCATCACGTACCAGCTTAGTACTCTTTTCTTTTTCATATAATTGTTTACTGCTCTTTTTTTGTTGCTTACCCTCTCCGACCATGGAATTCTCAGCAGCCTTCTGTAGAACGACTTTTCTGTTGTCTCTAGCTTTCTTTTCATCGATAGTCCAAAATCCACCGTCATATAGAAGGACCGATATTACATAACAGTTCAGTACTCTTTTCTTTGTTTCTGATGAGACTTGACTGTTTCTTAATACTTTACTTAGCTTTCGGAAGGCATCTTTCGCCATTCCAGTGCTTCTTCGGATTTGGTTGTTGCACTTTCCGTCCACTGTTAATATGCTTCTAAGTTATTGTTGCCTTTGCTTTATTTTGCTATCTCCAATATTTAATTTGTATGTTGGTCCATTTGTTTTGCTGTGAATCAAACATTCTATCATCTTTCTTCTCGTTATTTTAGCGGACACTGCATTTGAACCCCGTGTCTGTAGGCAAAGATTCAACTATTTGTTTCGCTGTCCATTGATTTGAGCGCTTCTCTGCGATTCCTTTGATTTGACTTCGTCCATTTATGCAGCAAGGAACTCGGTATTTCTGGTCATAGTAGAAGGTTTCGTAATCTAACATTAAAGTTTTGAATTCTATTTTATTTCAAATTTATTTTCATCCGGTCCTGATTCTCATCTCCTCTGTTTCGCAGTGGAAATAAAGAAAGACATGGATTTGCTAAAATAATGCACAATTCACTGACATGTGCAGTTTCTTCAACGATTAAGTACTCGGAACAAGAAAGATAACAGCAGAATTCGTGACATTCACTTTAGCGCAATACCTTGAAAAAGGCATTGATCCATCCCTTCTGTCTCGAGCCGTAATCTTTTTCTCTCTTATTCCTTTTTTGTCTTTTCTCTCTTATTCCTTTTTATATTTCTTTCATCTCTTGTCTTTTTTCTCTCTCTTTACTTTTTGTGAATTTCTGCCAACGATTCATTCTTTCTTCTTAGAGTTAATAGTTATTTCTTTCTTCTCGCTTTCGTGTACTATCGAATGTCATCTCTTAATTCAAAACCACATGCAACCCTGGAGTAGTACATACTGTCTTATAGCTGGCTTTATCTGAAGGTCCCTGACTACAAGGGCCAATCTTTGTTGCAGGTGCCTGCTCGGACATATCTGTGTTTGTTCAAAGAGCCCGTATGTACTTTACGCAACTATGCTGAGCGCACTTTAGTTACAGTTTCTTGCCCGCATTGATCAAAAGCTTGAACAAGACCAACCCGCTGAAACCCTCGATCACGATGCCTCATACAACCCTCGACGGCCCTCACATAGTCCTGTTTACCCAATTTCACTCACAAGGTTTTTCAGGCGCTTTTCAAAGATGCCGCACGCTGAAATCGCCTTACCCCAGACCGATTACACCTTCCTGATAAATAGACCCGGGGTAAGGATGGTCGGAAAGCGTGACCATATACTGTATATCGCCAAGATTAGGGGTCACCAAACCTTTCTCACAGACGGTCAGATAACTGAGAGAATAACGAGCCCGGGCCGGATAACCATTTTGTTCAATACAATACACTGAATGCACAACAAATGAAGACAACAAACATACTTATTTATTAAACTTATCTAAGAAGGCGATAATAGCAATAAAATATTTATATCACACCAAGTGCGCACATATCTGAATCTCACAAACTAAGCATCACAAAAGGTTAGCGATATTTGCAAAACTAGCGTTTACCTTTTAAGATATAATTAATGTTTGTTTTGGTATTGCTGCAGCCAACCAAGAGAAATTCTTTCAAATGTCCATCCGTCAACATTGTTACCTGTACTGATTTTACACACTTTAGATTTTTTTAATAGGTTCAGGTAAAATATATGACATAATTCGTTGAAGTCAGTCCTTTTTATATACGGCACTCTTCAAATCGGTTTAAACATGGTAGTGCAAGTTAAAACATAATTACCTGCAGCAGGCTCTTATAATTGCTTTTCTTAGAAACTTCATTGCAGTCACTTAGACAAAAAGCGCTCGGATATCAAAAGTTGCCAATTTTTTTTTTTTATTTCACTGATTTTCTTAAAATTTATTTTGCTGTCAGATGCAAAAATCAGACTGGCCAAATTTTGGCATTTTACTTACAATTTTTTTTACATAGTAATTTTAACTACATTCTATTGATAATTCCGTATAAATAATTATAGTTTGGCTCATTTGTAGCACTGTAAAGTGGCGGGACAGATGAACTGACATCGGGGCCCGTAGTTTCGTAACCCCTGTATAAGGTCACTAAGTTAGAAATTACTATAATTTCGACGGTGATCACACCTTCTACTGTGTTGATGTTGTAGATCTGATAGAATATAACTATTTTATGCCTGCTGTTATCGTGTCAGACTGATTTTAAGAGCACTCTGCGGGTAGTATAACGGTTATCGGCGCGGAAAGTGGAATCGGTGAGTAGGGTTTAAATTTCGGGCTAGTTTGTTGCATTCATTTTTGCACAAATGCCTTTGCGAAAGGCATGAATCGGATTCGTTTGGTTTTGGGTTAAATAGCAGTGTAGATTGGGTTTTGTAGCCTCTGTAGCAAATAGTACAGCTCTGAATAGAAAGCCAAAACGAAGAGATTGCTTCTGTCTTACTATCTTGCTCTAGACCCACCTAATGTTGTCACAGCTGCTATGTGTGTGGTGCACCTAAGACCTTAATGCGTTACGGAATTCAGCACTTCGTAAATAAACTGATTCACTTGTAAAAAAATAGGAAAAAGTATTTTTTTTAAAATAACTGTTGTAGATTAGCATTCTTTCGAATTTCCTCACTTCGCGACACGTGATTAATTATTGATTTAGAATGTGGGGGTGCTGTTCATAATAGAAATGCAGTGTAAAATCGATACCTGACTTTCACAAGTTGCACAG